TCCCTCCTCCTCCCCCCCTCCCTTGTCCTCATCTCATCCTTGTGTCTTTCGTCACTGCCTCGTTATCTGTCATTCCTCCTTGTCTCCTTTATCTTCGTTTTCCTATGTCATCATCTGTCATGTCAGGCCTTTCTTATACCATCATCTGTGTGTGTGTGTGTGTGTGTGTGTGTGTGTGTGTGTGTGTAATAATGTGTGTGTGTGTGTGTGTGTGTGTGTGTGTGTGTGTGTGTCAGTATTACTCGGGTCATTCACACATATATCCAGGTCACTAATCAGGGGATTACCCTAACTACACCCCTTCCTCCCCCCTCTCCTCCCCCTCCTACATCTGCCTCCTACACCCTCCTCCCCCCTCCTACACTCTTTCCTCCCCCTCCCTACCCCCTCCCCCCTTCACCTCTCCTTCCTCTCCCTCTCTACCTCCCTCATCTTGTTGTCGCATCCATTCTCGCTATCACACTTACACTTTCACAATCATTCACACTATTACACACTATTACACACACTATTACTACACACTGTTACACACTATTACACAGTCAAAAGAATGGAGGAGACTGCAGCTGGCCCATACTAGGCAGTCCCGTTTACAACCCAGCCCCTATTGCTTATATATCCGTCCAACTCACTTTCACTCTCACTATAACACTCACTATAAAGCTCACTTTCGCTCACTTAACACACTCACTATAACACACTCACTATAACACACTCACTTTCACTCACTATAACACACACTATAACACTCACTTTCACTCACTATAACACACTCACTTTCACTCACTATAACACACACTATAACACTCACTTTCACTCACTATAACATGCTCACTATAACACACTCACTATAAGACACTCACTTTCACTCGTAAACGTAGTAATTTGGGGGCCATGGCCTAGTGAACCCTAACCCTGACTACCCCTAACCTAATGATATGGGAGGTGAGGAGGTACTGAGAGAAGAAGGAAGGAAGAGAAGTAAGGAGGTACAGAAGAAGGAAGGAAGAGAAGTAAGGAGGTACAGAAGAAGGAAGGAAGAGAAGTAAGGAGGTACAGAAGAAGGAAGGAAGAGAAGTAAGGAGGTACAGAAGAAGGAAGGAAGAGAAGTAAGGAGGTACAGAAGAAGGAAGGAAGGGAGGAGGTAAGGAGGTACAGAAGAAGGAAGGAAGAGAAGTAAGGAGGTACAGCAGAAGGAAGGAAGAGAAGTAAGGAGGTACAGAAGAAGGAATAAAGGCTAAGGTCGATGAGTTAGTATTGTGGTCAGGGTTTATGAATGCGTGGTCAAAGGTTCTGACACTCACAAGGTTTTACCCCGAGTTGAGACCACAGGCAGCTGGTGAGAACATTCTTGGGATAGGGGTAAAGAGGGGGGGGGGCAGGGGGGTAGTGTTGGGGGTTGGCAGGGGGGTAGTGTTGGGGGGCAGGGAGGTAGTGTTGGGGGGGGATTTGTTATCAGTACAGTATTCACACAAGCAGGTAAATATGGCCGTGAAAATGATGATGATGAGTTATACCTGATAGTGTCATTATTCGTATTACTGTTATTCGTGGAAAATGTCCGTAAAAACAATGAAGATGATGATGATGATGAGTTATCTGATAGTGTCATTATTTGTATTACTATTATCCATGTTATTAAGACTTATTAATACTAAAAAAAATGAATAGTTTAGTTTACAAGTAGGAAGTAATAATTTCAAGTAGAAGGAGTTATCAGCTTTTGTTAGGTGATAAGGCCATCAATGTGTGTTATCTATCAAAAGACTTAGTTATCAGTGTGAGAGACAGACACACGGACACAACCAGATATTTGTCTTTCTACGATGTTAATTGATTTTTTTCTCCGTTAGTGAGGCAGAAAGATAGTCAGTAGTTGATTAGGTTAGGTTAGGTTAGACTAGGACAGGTTAGGTTAGATTAGGTCAGGTTAGGTTAATTTATGATTCGTATAGATCAATTTAATCCTCACATATCACTGTATACAACCTTTATTGACGTGTTTTTTAAAGCCTGGCCATGAAAATATTGGAACCTGTTCTTTGTTTATGTCGGTGAGGGAACCAGTCCGCACCGCAGGTCCTTGCTCCGCTCTAGGCTGAGAGTGGTGAGGGGGTGGGGGCGAGAGTGGTGTGGTGGTGAGAGGGAGTGGGAGGGTGGGGGCGAGTGGTGAGGGGTGGGAGGGTGGGGGGCGAGTGGTGAGGGGGAGGGTGGGGGGTGGGGGCAGAGTGGTGAGGTGGGAGGGTGGGGGCAGTGGTGAGAGGGGTGGGAGGGTGGGGGCGAGTGGTGGGAGTGGGAGGGTGGGGGCGAGTGGTGAGAGGAGGGTGAGAGTGGGAAGGGGGAGTTGAACAAGTTGTAATAAGAACAATTCATTTAGACAGACAGAGAGGTTAGGTTAGGCTAGTTAGGTTAGGTCAGGTCAGGTTAGCAATCGGGTGGTTAATCTGATGGTGAAATAAACTGACGGGGGGGGGTGGGAGCAAATAACGAATGAAGTGCAGGGGGACCTCGTGAGTGTGTTGATTATGTTATTATATTGAGTGTGTTTACATCTGCTCAGGTGGTCATCAGTAAAGGGCCTCAGTACTCATTTACGGACTTATTTCCAACACACAACGGAACAAGTCAGAGTAGTTGTCCCTCACTTTATTTCACCTGAAGGTTAATCAGGACCAATGGGGTGTGAGGGGTAGAGGGAGTGGGGGGCAGGAGCAAGGCGTGGGGGTAGACTGGTAGAGGGAGTGGGGGGCAGGAGCAAGGCGTGGGGGTAGACTGGTAGAGGGAGTGGGGGGAGGGGGCAGAAGCAAGGTGTGTGGGGGGCGGGGTCGCCATCCCTACCAGGATACGCCCGAGGGAAGGCCCGGTTGAGACTCCCACCTCCTGCCGGCCTAACCCAGGCTGTCTGTGACTAGTTAAATGGGCTCCAGCTTAACCTAAACTCACCTAAACTAAGCTGACCTAACCTAACCTGAACTGATCTGCCTGACTTCATCTAACGTATCCTAACCTTAGGAATGGGACCCAGAGAGTGAGGGAGTTAAGTACCTGGAATTTAGATGGTTTTAAAGGTGATGGTGGTGGAGGAGGAGGTGGTGGAGTGGGTATCAAGTGGTGGAGGTGGAGTTGGTGACAGGGTAACACGTGAAGGTCACCCCCAGAAGCGAGACACAACTAAGTGACTCTCACCAAACATAATCCATAACATCACCACAGATTCACTCGGTTATTTGGCTCAATAAATCTAACCTTGATTACACGTCGGCCAAGATATAATTATAATAATACCTAAAACTCAACAATGTTATATAATTGGTTAGTTGGATTATACGTTTCCAAGGTAAAATAATTGTAATCATAACCGACCCCCACAAAAAAAATAGAGAGAAAAATAATAACACAGGATTTAAACTTATTTGTAAAGTGAGAAAAAATATGATAGAACATAATTTTATTCTCTCGAGGAACATTTGGTCCACTTGTATGAACATTACAAATGAAGAGTAAAGTGACCTCCTATTCATTCTCAGGGTCATCCAAGGTGTTGATAATGACCTTTGACCCGAATCTCACACCTATACAGTTTGGGATTACTTAAAATTATAATAATCATATAGCATATACTGCAGTACATAAAGTAAACTACATTATATCACATAACAACAGACGATATACTGCGTAAGGGCAAAAAGTTGAGGGTACCTGAGACTTGCCCAACAGCACATTCAGATTATAACCGGATTGACTCGTCCTGATCGTATAAAAAAAACTATCACGTAATCCAGTCCCTTGTTTGTGAATCTTGTGGGTCAAGAGTAGATTTTTGTCGTGATAGGGAATTCTTAATAGTTTCTCTCCCAGGTGTTCAGATTTCCCCTTACCAGTGTATAATGTAGGTAATTATTCAGTAAAAGTTCTCATTAAAATTCAAGTTAATTTAGCATGTACAGTGGAGGGATATAAACATTAGCTAGCAGTAAGTTCATTGAAGCATGGATAGCCCTAGCAAGCAGCCTTTTAAAAGCAGCTGACTTCGGATCACGTGAAGAGTAAGCACACCCAGCTTATTTTTACCTGATGATTAAACACCCTATTATTAACTTAATCTAACCCCCAGGTAGCGTTAAGGTGTTTAATCATCAGGTGAAATAAACTGGGGTGGTTAATCTTCAGGTGATTCCTTAATTCCCAAGGTGTTCTTAAACGGTGGATGGGTGACTAATCAAATGACGAAACAGAAAAAAAATCCACCTGTTTGAAATAACTTATTTTTTTTCTTGTGTTTGTGTATTAATAGCCAGTGTTTTTCTTGTTTTTATTTATTTATTTTTTTTTTTATGTTTTTTAATTAACTTCGTCGTAGTAACAACCTGAGTGTGAGACTGTGAGTGTAACTGGCACAAGACATTTTATACACTGCATCACCTCGGGGGCACGTAATTGGGGCTTGAAAATTGCATCGATATGTTTGATAATATCTTACTTGTACTTGAGGGTGCATTCAGGAGCCGGTGCATGACCAGTACTTTCCAACAGTACTTGCCCAAGCGACTAACGAGCCGATCAGTGGTGAAGAGGATAAAAGAAACGAAATCTAGAGGGAAACAGTTAGGCGGGCTTGGAATTTCAACGCATTTACTTAGATTTTTCTCTTCACTATCTCTAAATTAGCCACAAACATGACTCAAGTACCTGACATGATTTATATTGACAAAGTAACGTTCACTATTTATAAATTAGTCACGTTTACAGGTTATGCCCTACTAGTTTATGCCAGATATGGACAGGTGTCGAGGGAATTTTGGTCGTAACTGTATATGCTCAGGGCCTGTCAAGTGCGCATCAGCATCAGAGAACAGACAGACCACCTGACCTGCTATTAAGTTGACAAGTGGCACAGAGGATAAATAAGCCAGTTAATATGTAAAAGCATTCATATTGTTGTTATTTCCTTACTGTTTTCTATGACTGTTGGAGTAACTATAGTAAATGTATTCTTACAGGCGAAGTATGGGCGTTCTCCTCTTGGTGCTGTTGTACGCGGCCTCCACCAGGTAAGTTTTTATTCATGTTTTGGGAAAGTGTTTTTGTCGACCTCTATGATGATGCTAGGGTGCGGTGGCCCAGTGGATACAACGCTCACCGCCAATTCTAAGGTTCACAGGTTTGTATCGGACACACTGTATAGAGAAGACTTGAGGAATTTAATATATCTACACTGTCGACTTATACCTAATTTCACACCGATGAAGGACACGTGATAACACACGAGTTTTGTGGCTTGAATGACAAAAAAAAGTTCTATCAGCCATCCATTACATTTGATGATTTATATCTTAAAATCATGATGAATTTGGCCTCCCTCTCCCATTTTTTTTACGAATATAAACGCCCTCATTGCATTAACTTAACCGAACACGTCATTGCCAGGCTTATATATTCTATGTCAGTCGTAACTCCTAAATCTATTCATTTGTACTTATATTCCTCTCGCCAGCATCAAGTTTATTTATACATATATTCTACGGCAAGGATAGATTATTTTATTTATTAGTACGGTATGAGGTCATCCACTGACTTGTGTGTTGTGGAGTGTGCGTTACTGAGGGAAGAGCCGTGTGTGTGTGTGTGTGTTTGTAAGTTGCCAGGTGTTTGAAGTCCTCACCACACCTGGGTCTCAGCTCAGGGCTCGGTCACCAACAGTCGCTTACATCTGCAAGCACACCCACGTTTACACATACACCCTTGTTTACACATACACCCTCGTTTACACACACACACACACACCCACGTTTACACATACACCCTTGTTTACACATACACCCTCGTTTACACATACACCAATGTTTACAAGTACACCCACACTTACAAATTACAATACAGGTACACCTACACTTACAGGTACATCCACGTCTACAAGTACACCCACTAGATAAACTTAAAGTCAGGAAGTACAGGATAATTTTAGACCTACGTCTTTTACAGCGGCGGTGTTCACATTGAGATAAGTTTGTGTATGTTTTAGTAAATTACGCCCATTGTTTGATAACATGTCTCTTCATGCCAGTTTGTACATATTTTCTGTTTCGTAAAGTATTAAACGGTAATTTAATCTGAATATGTTGCGTTCAAACTGCATTAATTATGATATATATTAAAGTAGAAACATTTGATAGAATACACTGTATTTGGTGAATTAATCGTCATTGTCAATATAAGAAGATTAATGCATCTCTGGCAACATCCCGGCAGCCCTTATCACAACATTGAGAAATTAACTGTGGAAGACATAAAATATTCATTCCTTTCTATGACTGCAAAACACATGTAGAGTCAAATAAAGATTGGCTTAAACATGTAAAGACTATTCTGTGTATAAGGAATTTCAATAACCGTATACAAACATTAATTTATCCTTATATGTTCAATTTTGGTACGAGTTCGCGTCCTGTATGCAAACACTTGTTGCCCCCGGACTGCAGCCTATCCTTGTTGTGGCACCATTCGTCATCATCGTTAATCATACAGCTGTTAAGACGTGTAATGCAGTATGTGAGTAAATCCAAGACTCTCTTTGTCATCTGCGCTGTCTATACATTTATTCATCAACCTTTTCTGATTGAGGTTTATCTTTTTCCTTTCGTTATCGTTTGTAATATTTTCGTGACATATCTTTTATTAATTCTCCCCTACTTATTCATTATTATTTTTGTTTATTGACGAGGACACTGTAAGTTGTTGGTTACCAGAGCCATTTGATGGTTTTGTTACATCAAACGTCACCAACTGTTATTTTGCTCGGCACAGTTTGTTTATTTACCCGTAAGAGTAAAAGATGTGTTGCCCGTGTTAATTTAAATGGTCATTTATTTACGTATCAACCTGTGATGCTTGGTAGGGTCACATTGGGATAACACCTTTCCCAGGCGTGTCCCAAAAGACTGGAACCCAGGAAATAGTTTGCATTGTCCTTAAAATTTTCCAATAATGATGAAAATAATACTAAAATGCATGTAAACAAACAAATACTCTCCTTCCAGAGCAGGACTTTGTGTTCATCACAGCGAGACTAAAGTTTACTAGTTTTGATTGAACATAACTAGTTAAAGTCTCTGTGTATTTTTATCGTATTTTTGGATGTTTTATTTGGGTTGCAGCCTGAGGTTACCCCAACCAATTTTGATGTATTCTCACATCTTCACTGTCCATGAATATTCAGCCTAGGAACCTTCAAGAATCTGAACCTTGGTTTTGTTATCACATAGAAATAAAGGCAGTATATATCTGATGTAGCTTTCTGCCTCACACTATTTTGTGTTTACTGTATTTATATTATCATGTGTTGAATATGCCCTCGGGGAGCTTTGGAGCCACTGTAATTACTGAGGGCTGCAGTAAATGCTCCAAGCTTACCCAGCCAATGCCATATGCTTTTTTTTTATTAGTGAAAACTTGTATATTTTAATGGTAGTAGTACTGCAGTCATACTTGTTATTATAGTTCGCATTTCGCTATAATCACTAAAAGCAGTAGGAAGCTTAAACCACAATACTGTAATTTGGCTTGTACAAAAATCAACAGTCAGGTGATATGATATTTTGTACACTTGTACAGTATAATGATCACAAAGAAAGGGTAAGGTGACTCAGGTTCATAGAGGGTGCATTAAATGACCTCTGTATATATATATAATATTAATAATAACAATAATAATAACAAACAATAATGATAACAATGCAGGTAATAATAAAATCCTTTTTTTATAAAGGGTTAAAATGACCAGCTTATATCGTTGACATAGTAGTAGATGACACTGTCCTTATCTCACTCATGTATTGCCCCCTATACTGTCTACTGTACCTTATGTGATAATTGTGAACACATTTTGTTTAAGTGGATGACATTGTAGGTAATTACAGTGTAATGTTTACTGAATATGAATACGTATATAGATTAAAAAAAACTAATTTTGATAGTCAATACAGCAATTTCTCATGGAAAATAATTTGTCGTGGATTTTTTTCCATTCAGCTCGCTAATTTCCTAAATATCATTTTAATTTCCCATGTGCAGGGCTGCTAAGACATACACCATCACCACCACCTGGAACGGGGGAGCCATCGACCATAAGCCCGTGCAGTTGACGCTCTCCCCCAGCAGCGACCAGCAGTACCTGGAGTTGAGTATTGATGCCCCCTTCTTCAACGACCCCCCATCGCCCCCAGGACCTGCAGGACAAGCATTCTATGGACTTTGGAATTATGAAGGTCCGTGATACATGAATTAGCTCAGTATAAGTTGATTGACTATAAGTTAAGGAAATAATGTACTGTTCACTACGAGTTTTGTCTATTATAAATTAATGTATTGGAGTTTTATCTAGTATGTTGCTGACCTCTTCCTTTGTCTCTCCTTGGACAGTGGTGGAGGCGTTCTTCCTTAACGATGACAACCAGTACTTGGAGGTGGAGGTGTGCCCGTGAGTATACTGTACTATACTTGCCAGGGCCTACATGACCTGGCAGAGTACAGAGATATATTATGAAGTTTTATGGGTTCAGAAGTGTTGGTACTATCCTGTTTTTAGGATGGATGTGTGTGTGTGTGTGTGTGTGTGTGTGTGTGTGTGTGTGTGTGTGTGTGGGTGGGTGATGATGTTTATCATTGGCTATGGGCTGAAAAATTTGTATGTCGATCCAACTTGGAACTTCAGAGCTTAAACGTTGAGTAATACGACATTGTGGTTGGCTGGAAAGGTATCCATGTTCTGTACTCACCAGAATTGTTGAGAGGTCAGGTAGGTGTCCCAAGATGGCTTAGTGCTGATTTTTGGGGACCATAGATACATTAATCTTTTTCTGCAACACATTAGGATTAGCTCTCACTTATTTTACCTTAAGTTTAACCTAAGCTAATCATAAGCTTATATACAATACACATGACATCACCTCACAATCACATCACAGTGGCGATGAGTCTGATGGGGATGGGGTCAGGTGATGTGATTGTGAGGTGATGTCATGTGCACTGTATATAATAAGTTTATATAGTGATGAATGTGCCAGTACTGTACTTGTCTGTAACTTTACTTAAGAAGGGGACGGTTGTTGCTGAAACTGTTTGGAATAAACATTTTGTCTGCCGTCGTGGGTTTCTTCTCACATGATCTCTTAAACTTGGATCACTTGTAACCCCTTACAATGCTGTTGTTGTCAGATATTTAGTATGGACAGCTATTACTGACATTGGTATTCATGTTCTCAAGGTCATGGTGTTTTATTAGGATATTCAGGTAGTCTTAAGGTGGGTTGGCAATAGGCAGTGCATCCAGCTGTAAAACATATTTTAAATTGACCTGATGGCAACTTTCATTATCTGGTGTCACTGGATAACAAAGGTTGTAACAAAACAGATCAACCACCTTAACTGATAGTGGTAGAAATGGTAAATTAAAAGAAATATGCCATCAGGTAATCACAATATTATTATGTTTAAAAAATTTCTAAATACAGTACATAGTCATAACTTGAAGCAAGAGGTCACGTTTCTTGACCTCTGGTTACCTCTAAATACCTAAGCAAAATAGTGATGTTCTCCTCAGCCAGGGACATCATACAGTACTGTATTTTGAATTAATTTAATGCCTCCAGTATGAATACAGTAACTAATAAAAATGTAGCCTTGAGATTGAAACATCATAACCTAAGCTTGTGTAATGCCTTTTACACAAATAATGTTTACAATGTTGAGGTTGCAACAACATTTTATGAGTTTATTGTTTGCTTGTACAGTACAAATGTTTGCAATTTTGTCATGAGTACAAAAACATTATATATAGTGTGTGTGTGTGTGTGTCTATATATGTACAGTATTTTAATTGTGTGCTAGAACAGGATGTAACATGTCCCATACTTTTTACAGGTGGGGGCAACACATTGTACTGATGTTGAGTGAACAGAGGGTCACTATCCGTCACTCGTTGCCTCTGGAGGTCACCACCCAGAGGAACCCCACAACCAAATCCTGGACTGGCCTGGCCAAGATTCCCATCACCTATTTACCTCCTACAGTAGGTTGATTCACTACCTCCCTTTATCCCTTTATCAAACTTCTCATACAGTATTGATATTGAAAAGCTGCATATTTGTAACAGCCAGATCTGAGACACTTTTGGTTGAGGTCTTTGTGAGGGAGTGTTATGTTATAAGGGGTGAGGTGCCCAAATGAATGCAATGCTCATTTGCCCGAAGGGTAGTTGGTGCATGACTGGGGTATCCCCAGTCCACTCAGATGTAATTAGGTAGCTAACTCTACAATTTGGTAATGAAGGGAGGCAAGTGAAGTGCCAGCTGCACATACTCTGTATTCTGAAGGCTTAGTATTTATTGTGTTGTATTTACACTGCCCCTAATAGGTCATCAGGTGTCTGAGACCAACTTTCACTAGTGTTGTAGTTACTTGGTGTTTGTGTTGTTGAGCTATCTGATGTTAGTTTTATGATTTATTTTGTGTTTGAAGGAGTGTTCGTATTACAGGAATTACAGCAGGACATTTACCAGTTTGCCAGTTTGTTATTGCACACTAACTAACCTTCATATTGCAGGTGACAAAGTTCAATGCATACGCTATCCATGGATCAGGCAAGGACCGAATGTACGAGAGCCTCTACCCAGCTCCGGAAAATGCATCCAACCCAGACTTGTGTGTATACCAGGCCTCTTAGTGTTGCACATATGGATAGGTAGATAGATAAATTTAGCTTGGCTTGTGCATATGCCAGTCCAAATACCTATCTACTTGTTTCTATATATATGGATAGATAGATATATTTACTTGCACTTGTGTTCTGTATATGGTCCTCCTGATTAACTACTTATTATGTAAAGGGATGGAAAGATAGAAGTAGATTTACCTGTACTGTATCATCCTCCAGGGTAACCACTTGCTGCTACTGGTATGGTAGATTTTTTCTTACTGAGGACTCGTAATTAAAATGTTGATTTCTATCTGTTATAGGCACTTTCTTATTCCTCTGGCAGAATAAAAGATACTGTATATTATAACTGCACATGTCCATAGGTAGAGGTGGGTAGATTTTTTTACAGGATAATTTTTATGGGAAACTAGATTGGCATATTGTTCTTTCATTAAAAAAGATATATTATATATGGGTTAAATATCCTTCTGTCTCAATAAATATAATAATGAAAGGGTAGGACAACATTTAGGTATAGTAATTAAGGTCAAAATTTTTAACTTAAAAAAAAGCATTCCCATCAGAGGATTTTAGGACTGTAGCAACATTTCTTTACCCTTCCAGCCATGCCCTCCAGTACTTCCAGCCAATCAACATGTCAGAACTACTCCCAGACCAACCCAATGCTCCCATGAGTGAACTCTGGGAAGATGCTCTGCAGGGGTGAGTAACACTTACCATGGTGTGAGATACCTTGATGGGGTGATGGTGATAGGTACCATAATGTGAAAGACAGTGTTAGTTGCCATGGTGGAGACAATAATACAGCCATATTCCATCATGGGAGAGATAGAATAAAAATTTATTTATAAATATGGCGCCAATTATGAGGTGCTTGGAAGAGGTGGGTGGAGGGCAGATGTATCCTCAAACTTTCATGCTTTAAATACAGTGACTTATCCCTTGAATATAATGATACTGCACTCAAGGGTTAATCTGAAATTTTTGACCCATCCCTTCCATTTGTTGAATAAGGTGAATTATTCAACATTGGTATGACTCAAGTTAGATGGTGTTTTGAAGGTGCTATATTATGCTTTGCCTTAAACTCATAACGTTGTAACAAAAGGAATATTTTTACAGAGTGTTCCCGTACAATATTACAACAACATGGAACAACTTGCCTGTGCCCAACACTCCAGTCCAGTTTACTCTCCAGGGCTTCCAGGTGTGTATGTGAGAGAATGAGAAAGAGATGAATATCATGCTGGTTTGGTGGTTCTCTAATTCCCATAGATAATCACAGTTCCATTTGGGTTAGTATTGGTTGAGTGATTAACCCTCCAAGGATAGTCAAACCCACTAAATTGTAATTTTCTTGGCTACTAAGCAGTTGAGCTTGGTCTCCTGTGAGCATTCCATGGAACAATTTCCTTAGCACTGAAGAAGGCTGTCATCCAGGAACAAACTGATAATTGCTGGGTAGGAGGGAGCATTGTGCAGTCTAGATCAGAAAGCATTGTGTCAATTAGTAGCTTTATGTGTGATTCTTTTGTGTAGTAGGAAGCGAGAGTGATAAAATAAAAGATAACTTCGGTCATGATGTGGAAGTTGAACATTAGTTTACTATACAACTGGTAAGATACTTAAAAAGGAACCAATAAAAGTGAATGATAGGAGAATTTAGTCATTTTCACTTCAGCCATCGTGAGCTGAAATGGAAAAGACTAAGTTAAGTAGATCCAAGAGTGAGAAAGTGGTTGGAGAATGGGTGCATAGTTACTATCACTTTGTGAGCTTACAGGCTGGAGTGGAGTTGAACGTGACGGCTCCCTTTTACAACGACCCTGCCCCTAATGGTACTGCAGGCCAGCCATTCTATGGTCTGTGGGATTATGAAGGTAAGTCTCTCTCTCTCTCTCTCTCTCTCTCTCTCTCTCTCTCTCTCTCTCTCTTTTACAAAATCCTCACCACAAAATACACTTGTTGACATTATGGCACTTTCACTCATATATAATGATGATATTGTAATGTTACTCACAGTAATAATGGCCATGCACTATAGCCATGGTGTAATAAGGTTGAAAACAATAACAATCCTAATATTTAGATAAAATACCTTACTTTAATTATAGTACAGTGTATGTATTGACCAAACCATTGAAGACATTAAGTTGGTACACACATGAGAAGTCATTATGGTATGGCACGCCAAAAATTCAAAAAATTCTAAATTAGCCTATAATTAATAAATATCATAACTCACACCTATAACATTTACTAGTGCTCTGTCTATCATGTACAGAGCAATTTGACATGATTAAGGTATTTTATGACTCGAGAGAACTAGACTATGTACTGGTATTATGTATTAATGCCCTACTGCATATGAACAAGATGGCTCTTTAAAATACTGTACGTACTTTGACAATTGCAGATGATGAAATTTGAATTTTGTTTTTTGGTGACATGTTGTGAAGAGTTTTTCTATGCAGTGGTGGAGATGTTCTTCCTAAACGACAACGACGAGTACCTGGAGGTGGAGTTGGGACCCTGGGGCGAACACCTTCTGCTTCTCTTAAAGGGAGAAAGGAATACCATCAAGCACTCCCTCCCTCTTGATTTCCTTGTCACAGAGAGAACCATGCCCATTGAAAATAAGCCAGTGAGTATACCCCTATGGAAGGCTGTTTAATGTGCCCCATGGAAGGTGGTTTAACATTCCCCATGAGAGATGGTTTAATGTACCCCATGTGAGTTAGTTTAACATACCCAATGAGAGGTATTGGAAGTAGTTTTATCCCATGGGAGGTAATTTGGTGATGGGTGTACAGTATTACACTTGGTGGGCATCTGTTCATGACATACATTCATTCTTTCTTGAGTCTACTTAACTCTAGGTGTAGCATTTAGTGAGTGAGATTCATGTACACCAAATAGATGTTCCATTACCTGCTTGGCTAAAATTCTAAACACTTAAGAAGCCATATTAACTTGTAGGTGCTCATGAAAATTAGTTCCTACTCTTGCTAAGAGGCTTCAGACTTATATACTAGTTATGCATTCCAGTTCCTGATTAATTAAAGTTGTAAACACAATAGAAACCATATTAAGTAATGGATTTCAGTGGTAGACTTAATATTAATTCTTCTTTGATGCCTTGAGATGTCTATAAATGGTGTGATACCACTTGAAATCTGTGTGTGTGTGTGTGTGTGTATATAGAGTAGACATTTCTGGTAAACCTGTGGACTCAAACATGTTGGGGAAAGGTTTATCACCCCAGTGTCTCTCTCTCTCTCTTAGGGTATATTCAGGAAGAAAAGGAGACAGAAAGATAAAGTTAAAGTTAAAGAGTAAGAGAGAGAGAAAAAAAGAAAGAAAATTTTGAAAAATTTATTAAGCATTACATCTCTCAGTTTCTACAATTAAACTTTTGGAAATTCAGAATAATCTTTGTGGGTAATACTGTTGTATATAATATACTATAGGACTAGCCGTGTGTCTGTCTGTCTGTTCTGGGCAGCCGAAATGGCACAATTGTTTTTCATCAAACTTGGTGAAAAAATCGCAAAAAATTTGTAGAGTGGAGCAAACCTGGTCCTATGTCGATGGTTTCTTTAGGAAGGCATTAATTAACCATTTTATTTACAATGGAAAACGATGCAAGTCTACAGACTTGGCGCACCCTAATTAACCATGCAAGTCTACGGACTTGGCGAACCCTCATTCGCTGTGCGCTGTCACGAGCGTTCATACTTTCACAAGGGCACGAAGGGCCCGTGATCACTTGCATTAAGCTATAAGATATGCTGTAAAAGGGTAACACCTTTGTTCAATATAACTGTTATGGGAATGAATGAGTGAATGAAGGGAGAGGCTGTGTTCACATTTGATTCCATCTGCATTACATCATACAGTAATGGGAAAAGACTTGTAAGGAGGAAGAAGAAGGAATGCTTATTTTATCCTGTTATTTCTTTAGGGTATATGGAAAGGGTCAGCCATGATCCCCCCAGGTTACTTCCCACCCAATGTGACGCGCATGAATGCGTACGCCATCCACGGTGTAGATGATGCCAGGGACTACCAGGCCCTCCATCCCGCCCCCAACAATGACCCAGACTACCCTCAGCCCGACTTGTGAGTTATCTTCCTCACCCTTATCCTGTTTTCTGTCCTTTCCTTCCTCTTCTCCATTCTTTTTATTCCCTTCCTTTAGTCTTCCATTGTTTCTTTTCAGGTCCTTCTCACTCTGTATTTCTCATTGTATTTCTCCTGGTCTATTGTTTCCTCTCTGTCTGTCTGTCTCATATCCACCTCTTCATGTCATTTTGAATAAGCACTATTTTCTATAGCATCACTCTTCCTAAGGGTTGTATGTCAGTACATTAACCTAAGTTAAGCTACTTTATCCTTTACTCAGCTGAAAATCCATAGCTTGGTCCAATTGTTCCCTAATTCAATGTGTTAATTTCTGATTTGCCCTGTTGGGACTTGAATTTTGGAGCAAATAATGAGAAAATTCTTTAATATGAGACAAATCTGATCACTAGGAGATAGACTCCGGTTTAATTTACCTTAAGATTACCCACCCTAATCCAAGCCTAAACTAACCCCCCAGGTGGCAATGTGTTTAATCATCAGGTGAAATAAGCTGGGTTTCTAATCTTCAGGTCATCTTACAAATTAATCCTCATTATAAAGTAAAAAAAAAGATATTGCAGTATGTTGAATATTTCTGATACTTTTTTGTATATCAGGGCTTACAATTTTTAGTCATATTAAAAGATGGTTAGTGTTAGGATGAGCCTTTCTACATTGTGGTGTGTCACTTGTGTAGTACTGTATTGTGTGATATACTCAGTAGTGATCCTTGTCTAGTGTACTTTATACTCAACCTTTTGTAGTTCACTCAGTACTTATCCTTGTGTAATTTACTATGTACTTATTCTTGTGTAGCTTATGCAGTGTTTCTTCCTATGTCCACAGCCACCGACTCAGTCTCTTCAGGGCCATCGACTTTGAGTTCCAATTGTCGAACAACAGTGAATATTCAGATGTGTGGCTGGACGCGATGGCCTCCAGTAGCACCACGATCTCGGTGGGTTCTGGACACAAGGCCCTGCTGGTGGCACTCCTGTCGTTGACGGTGGTGGGGGCAGCATGGTTCGCGGGGAGCTGGTGAGGGGCCCCTCCCCGTGTGGTGGTGGTGATGGTGGTGGTAGTGTAGAGGGAGGCGAATGTTGATGATGAAGATGGTAGGTGGTGGGTGTTATGGTCTGCCTGTGGTTTTTAATCCAACTGTTTTATATGCATCATTGAGACTTGGCTTTGTATTCCATTGAGTATATCTTTTTGCTCTCACACACACACGTACGTACGTTTATGTTCCTTTTCCTTTCTGTAATAAAAGCTTTTATAAAATGACCCACATCCCCCATGTCACTGTATGTAGTAAGGCATTTCTGTCCATTATTTATCGTAAGCAAGCCATTTGGCGGCTTTACTTTTCCAATAAGCCATTATTAAAAAGTCAGTAACTTACAGTAGAGTTTCAGTGATGCAATTATTTGTGTTTATCGTAATTATATGTCTTTTGTGTCTAATAAGTGACAAACCTCAACAGTATTTTAGTTCTAAGCTAGTCTTATAGTTCCTAATTTCTTTTGATATTGATGCTAACAACTAAACCATAGTACTGCCTGATATTACAAGATATTATGTTATATGGCTAAGGTTTGCATGCATATTATCATGGCTAACATAGGTTTGCCTGCACCTTATTGAGGTTAGGGTAGGTTGGATTAGGCTTGCATGAACATTACCAAAGTAGAAGGTACGGGAAACAAATCTAATGTTGCAGGTTCTTGGAAGATATTAATATGTGCAATGTCTCTGTTTTCAGAGTTAACAAGAAGATGATTAACCAACTTCACTAATTCTATAAGTAAACTCATTTACTAACAACAGTGATTCTGGTTATGTATACAACAAATGTGACAAGTATTTTGTGTATCTACCCAATTGATATTGTTGAAATATATGACTGATTAAGATTTACTTATTTTTTCATGTGTGACAAGTTTTGTTAGACTTAATGAAATAGATATATAAAGACACACTATATTATGTTTTGCTGAATGTGCAGCCGGAGTTTGAGACTGAGGCGGCGATGGAAACTGTAACACTTTTGGGGCTAGCTGAAACTACGCCCGAACCAACTCCAACCCCAACAACACCTCCCCAACAAGAGGAGGAACCTGTGAACAAGACTGTATTCAGGCAAGATGCAGCAACAATAAGAAGAAGGCATCGGCCTCAGCCTCAGAGGGTGTTGAGCACTGATATCCGTGGCCAGCGTCGGGATGAGGATCACCTGTCTACACAGACATCTCGTCAAGGACCTCGTCCAGTACCAACACCCCAACGTGTCACGTCCGGTATTGACCAGTTCCAGCGTCGTCGGCTGCAGCAGCCTGGAGTTCAGCCCCCAAGTCAAAGTCTCACAGAGGGCCAACAAATCACACCTCAAAATGAGCAGGAATCTGGTCAGGTGTTCCAGGATAAAAGATTTTCACAACATCAACAAACTGAAATCCCCCAAAAGTTCTCTCAAGGTGATCCACATTTCCAAGAAGAAAGATTCCCGCAGCAGACACCTCAGTTCCAGGATCAAAGGCAGTCTTCTCAAGGGGAATCACCATCCCATGACCAGAGATTCTCACAACAAGCACCGAATTTGCAAAATGAAAGACCCCGTGAAGAGCACCCAGAGATACCCAACCAACATTTCCAGCAACAGGTCCCTGACCGTAGATTCCAGCTACAAGGTCAACAGGCCCCTAACCAAAGAGTCCAACAAGAAGGTCAACAGGTCCCTGACCAAAGATTCCAGCTACAAGGTCAACAGGTCCCTGACCAACGATTCCAGCAACAAGGTCAACAGGTCCAGGACCAGAGATTCCAGCAACAAGGTCAACAGGTCCATGACCAGAGATTCCAGCAACAAGGTCAACAGGTCCAGGACCAGAGATTCCAGCAACAAGGTCAACAGGTCCAGGACCAGAGATTCCAGCAACAAGGTCAACAGGTCCATGATCAGAGATTCCAGCAACAAGGTCAACAGGTCCAGGACCAGAGATTCCAGCAACAAGATCAACAGGTCCAGGACCAGAGATTCCAGCAACAAGGTCAACAGGTCCAGGACCAGAGATTCCAGCAACAAGGTCAACAGGTCATTGATCAGACTGATAGTGTTCTAGGCTCAGAACCAAGTCTAACCACACTTCCAGAGATTGACTTGGAAACAGACACCACTATCCCTGATGTGGAAGCTGCTATGGAAACTTTGGCTGAGCAAACTGCTGCCTTACCACCCCCGCACCCTGTCTGTTTTGAACCAGGCCTGGTGGTTGACCAAAGTCGGTGCTACGTATTCCATGAGTGTGTGCTGGAGGATGGTGTTTGGCAGATGTATTCTTGGAGGTGCCAAAGAGGACATGTGTACGACCCCATCAATGTGGCTTGTGTCCGTGGAAGGTGCCAGAGGCGGCGTAGAGGAAGGTAAAGCCATTGGTCATGTTTATGTCTGCAGAGGTTGAATGATGAGACAGCTGTAATGTGATGATGAGAATTGGATTGAATATTACAGTACAGAGTTTGTATTGAAGACAGTTAAAAAAATTACTCATTAAAGTGCCTGAATTTTTTTGTGTGGGTTGAAGTGCCTGATTTTGTCTCAAAGTGCCTGACTTTATGATTGTATCTTTTTGTGTATGTCTATGTGAGAGTGGAAGCGAGGATGTTTAAAATAGTGTAAAATGTGTGTCAAATACATATTAGAAGGCTTTAATTCACTGTTCTTTATCTTGATAATGATGTCGAAATAATGGAAATAAGAAATACAAGGTAGAGGAACCCTTGTTATTTTTGTTCTTGAGTGAACAGGTTGTTATATGTTACAATAAAAGTGTGATACTGTAGTGTAATTTTATACCCGAAGAGACAACACTGCACTCATATCATTGTTTAATCAGACACATCAACCATGAAGATTGGGATTCATTACCGTAGGGATTCGCCTATACAAGTACAAGTAAGTTTAATACAACCCCCAATCCAGATTCACGTAGCTTAACATAATGGATTTTTCACCAAATTGGTGCTGCAAGAATGTGTCTGAATCACTTCAACTGTGACAAGATTTGAAATTTCTGTAAGAACACTATAAATAAGGCATCTGAGTACAGTATTTTGTAAATTATTCTAAGTTGCCTTGTGCTGATCTCATTAGTAAAGGAAAATCGGTAAGGACTAAGTTTGATGCTTATGAGGTCAAATAAGCCCCAACCTGTATATACTCTTAGACTTAATAGGCCCCATTCCTCATAGGCCAAAGACCTAATAAGCCCAATGCATAATAGGCCCAGTCCACATAGCAGATGCTTGTTTAATTCTTCAATTACTCAGTGCAATTTTCAAGGGAGTCCTCCCTAAAGTAGTTTTTGTGAAAATCCTGTGTAAAATCGGTAAATACTTTAGTGTACCGGTATACGTACTCATATCAGCACATAAAGCAACGTGAGTACAGTATACAATACTGAACAAATTACATTTGTATAGCACACAAATCCTGGTACAGCATACAGTATTTTTTGTTTTGTTTTTGCATTATTTTTGGAGACTGCACCTTCATTAAATGTGCCTCTACCTTCTGACCCCAAGCTTAAGTCCTAATACAGGTAGGTCCTGGTTTTGGTAGATCCTAGTCCTATTAGGTCCCAGTACTCATAAGCCCAAAATTTAGTAGATCCAAGTCTTAATTGGACTCAGTTTTATTAGACTCCAGTTCCAAAAGACCCACGTTCATAGATCCTAACCTAGGCATTAGCAACATTCCTGCCGTTATGTCCTGCAGGGCTCGCTATCAGAGGTTAGTTATTGTTATCTTGATGCTTGAAAAGAAAAGGTCACAATTCGAAATTTACTTGTCTGTCATTACCGGAAAATGTTATATACGTTGTATTCTAATATATCTTGCCAACATTCTGGCGACTAAAAAAAAAAAATCTAAAAATAGCCTCCTACATCATCCAGCACGGCTGTGTTTGTGAGGCGCCTAAGTGTGTGTGTGTACAGTTTTGCTAAATATTAAGTTAACGAATAAATAAAAATACTAGTTACATTTGTCCAGCACTCTAGAGCATTGTCACCATAAATAGTGTTTACACATACACTTACGTCCTTATGGTTTGGTCATCTTTTCCTTGTGTGTACGTGTCAGTGTGTTGCTACTTTTGGGTCTCGTGTTTGTGTGAGGAGGAGAGAGTGTTTTGAATACTTTTTTGTAATGTGTGGTGGTGTGATGAGGCGAAGGAGGAAGTGTGTTGTAATGTGTGGTAAGGTGGCAGAGGACGAAGGCGTGAGTATGCTTATATATATGGTGAGGCGAAGTGTGGTAGTGAGGAAGGCGGAGGGAGTGTTTGTGTAGTAAGTAGGCAGCCAGCAGGACACTGTTAGCACATCGTGAAGAACAAACAAGCTAACACTTAAACAAGACCAGTCGAGGTATTGTAGCGAAGGATGGCAACTGATGTGACTGGGTGTATTATTTTCATATCTTGTAAGTGGTCGTCTGGTGAGCAGCGGTCCCTTATGTCGTTTGAGAGAGGATTATCAGGCATTGAATGTCTGATATTGAGTTGCTTTGGCTGGCTAGTGATACAAGAGCACAAGCCGTGGATATAGTAAACACTGAAATCGACAACAATCTCAGAAGTGCGAATGATGAGAGGAAAGTAAATAATGAATGTACAGTGAATCAATAAGATGTTGACCAGGAAACTGTGGGAATATATTTACTTTTACTGTTATCCTCTTCACCACAGATCGGCTCGTTTGCCGCTTGGGCGATCGGTCACATCTCTGTTACGCACTGTTGGCAAGTACTAGGCATGTACTGGCTCTCTGTCACGCACTGTTGGCAAGTAATGGGCATGCACCAGCTCCTGAATGTACCTGAACCTGCTCCAGTGTTGGTCAAGTCTGGCTTTGAAAGAACTCAAACTCGGTGCCGTCACAACACTTTCTAGCAGATTGTTCCAAGAGTTCACAACTCTCACTCCGAAAAAGTTTGCCCTCACAGTTTTCTGGACTTGCGACTTCTTCAATCTTGAGCTGTGACCCCTTGTGGGGCGAGCGTCCGCCAGCTCCAAGTAAGGACACTCGACTGAGTAGTGCCCCTCGAGATGCTTATACACCTCAATTAGGTTGTGAGGGTTCAAGGAGTGGGTAGGGGTAACTGCAGTGCACTTGTGGCAGTGTGTGTGTTCTACAGAATCCCGCATAATGTCCTGAGCTAACCAATACTAAAGTATCTTTTGTAGCAAATAAACTTAACCTGACCAAATATCCTGAGTCAACTTAATCTAACGAAATCTAAATTAACCCAAATGCCTAGACTTTTCTCACTTAATCCAAGATAACCTAACCAAACGGGGTTAACCAGAACTTGAAGAAACATGATCTGAAGAGGCTTGTTTAGTGTGAAATTGTCTAGTGTGATGTCAGTTCACCTCCGGTATAGACAATGTCGGTATATAGTGTATCTACAGTAGATAGTGTTTATATACAATGTACCTAAACAGTCTAGGTATGCAGTGTACCTAATGTAGGACTACAATATACCTAAACACTGTAGGTATAAATGTACCTAAACAGTGTTGATAAACAGTTTACCTAGACAGTGTAGGTATACGGTGTACCTATAAAGAGTAGGTATAGTGCACCTAGACAGTGTAGGTATGCACTGTACCTAGACTGTAGGTATGCACTGTACCAAGACAGTGTAGGTATGCATTGTACCTAGACAGTGTGGGTATGCACTGTACCTAGACAGTGTAGGTATGTACTGTACCTAGACAGTGTAGGTATGCACTGTACCTAGACAGTGTAGGTATTGCACTGTACCTAGACAGTGTTGGTATGTACTATACCTAGACAGTGTAGGTATGTACTGTACCTAGACAGTGTAGGTATGCATTGTACCTAGACAGTGTAGGTATTGCACTGTACCTAGACAGTGTTGGTATGTACTATACCTAGACAGTGTAGGTATGCATTGTACCTAGACAGTGTAGGTATTGCACTGTACCTAGACAGTGTTGGTATGTACTATACCTAGACAGTGTAGGTATTCCACTGTACCTAGACAGTGTAGGTATGTACTGTACCTAGACAGTGTAGGTATGCACTGTACCTAGACAGTGTAGGTATTGCACTGTACCTAGACAGTGTTGGTATGTACTATACCTAGACAGTGTAGGTATGTACTGTACCTAGACAGTGTAGGTATGCATTGTACCTAGACAGTGTAGGTATTGCACTGTACCTAGACAGTGTTGGTATGTACTATACCTAGACAGTGTAGGTATGTACTATACCTAGATAGTGCTGGTATACAGTCTACCAAGACGGATTTGTTTTCAAGCAGTACAATTACTCCCGTGCTTCACGCACCAGTTCATCTCTATTGCTTCAGGAGGTACCAAGGGTTCCAGTCACCACTCCCTCTTATTCTTAAATAATCGTTGCTAATTAGTGGTGAAGTGGAGGGCGAACGGCGTTCCCTCACTTTTTACCTCTGTGACAGCTTGGCACTTTCAAATATATATATACAGTATATATATTTAACGTGTACAGTAAGTACCGCCCTATTCTTCCTATGACTGGCGAGAAACCGTCAACCTGTGGGCCAGAGACATATAAGGCTACAACTGTTAGCTAGATACCGCAGTGACAATTAGTATATCAGTGTTAAACCCTCTATATGTCCGTCCTTCCGACCATCCCTCCAACCAACCCTCCGACGACTCGCTTCTCCAGACAGATATGGTGTGGTGGCTCGTCTTGGGTTGGTAAACTATAATACTGTACCGTATATTTTTCCTACTACTCTTTGTATGCTGTATTATACATGCTGTTATATACACACTAATTCATACATGCTGTTATATACACACTAATTCATAAATGCTGTTATATACGCACTAATTTACGTTTTTTTCTGTTCTCTTCACTAAGGATGTTCTTAGCAAGGAAGTACAGGGGTGGTTAAAAAGTCCCTGTTCACATTTTATACGTAGAACAAGGTAGATAACCCTATTGTTCATTATTAGAAGTGCACAGGGACTTCTCGATCACGTCTATCCTGTGCTTTTGTGTGTCTTTTTAGCTGGGCCAAAAGCTCGGTAACTCATCAACGTATTCCTGACTTTCTCTCCAGATATGATGACGAGGAGGCGCAGGTTCCCTTTGGCAGAGTGTTCACGGTGTCTTGTATCATCGTCGTCTTCAAGGCCGTGGTGGACGATGTTCAGAGTGACAGTACCACCACCACCACCACCACTAACACCTGTAACCTTTCCAGTGGTGGTGGTGGTAGTCGTGTTGCAGCTGGTGGTGATGGTGACGGCAGGTAGGTAATAGTGGTATGGGTGGTAGTGATGGTGTTAGTGTGAGGAGAGGGAGGGATGAAAGAGGATAGAGAGGATTATTCACCATTTCTATTCACTCACTGTATATAATAATGTCTTCGTCACCCCACAATACACCATCAGTCTTAAAGGGGATTTAAATGCAACAGAGAAAAGTAAGCAATAGAGTATTTATTTATATTTTCTTCTCTTTCTCTCTCTCATTCTCAACAGCAGGAAGAACATTACCACCCCAGCCTCCACGTCAGTCACCACCACCACCACCAGGAGCACCATCATCACCAGCAGGAGGAGGACATTCATCACCATTAACAACCCAGACAGGTGTGGCGGCAGCGTCCGACTACCTGCATATCAGCGTGACGTCATCTGCTCACCTGTTGCTTGTTACTGTCAACTCTGAAGTGGTAGGTTATCTATCTTTCTATCTATCTATCTATCTATCAATCTATCTATCTAAATATTTGTTCTCTGGTAAGGTTCAGTGTCAGAGTTCAAAGGAGGCATGACACACAGACACACACACACACACACACACACACACACACATGGTGAAAATATGAGTAATTAAATCCTGACCTAGAACTTTTGTAAATAGATAATTAGATAAATAAATTACTATTATAAGTTGATTCTGAATACCTCCCTGAGTGACCACTGTATGACCCTGTATGTTTTCGACCACTGCATGACCCTGTATGTTCTTGACCCCTATATGACCCTGTATGTTCTTGACCCCTGTATGACCCTGTATGTTCTTGACACCAAAATACCCCTAACTGACCACCTGTTTGACCCTGTATGTGGCGGTGGTGGTACAGGTAGCGGAGGTGAAGACTTTGAGTGCTGACATAGGCACCAGCAAGGAGAGTTACACCCCGTGGGAGTTGTCCTCTGGCATACACCTCCTAGTGTTACACCCTCAACACGGCAGAGTAATGATGAACAGGTGAGGCAGTGAATAATGATAATTAAATGATAATTGTAATGATAATTGTAAAATGAATAATAATAATAATAATAATAATCATAATAATGGTAACGTTATTGCACGAGGTTTCTTGGTTCGTGTGTGTGTGTGTGTGTGTGTGTGTGTGTGTGTGTGTGTGTGTGTGTGTGTGTGTGTGTGTGTGAGCTAGAGTCTCCGTATTCACCCTGAGTTCCCCCCTACAGGGTATTGACGACGACGCTCTTTGGTTCATCCTACGAGGTACCGAGTATCCTTACCTCCGTCACCCCTGGTCATCTCGTCGTTATATCTATCAAGGTAAGGTTAGGTTAGGTTATGTCTGTTATTGTCTGTAGGTCACTGTTTTTGTCTGTAGGTCACTGTTATTGTCTGTAAGTCACTGTTTTTCTCTAGGTCACTGTTATTGTCTGTAGGTCACTGTTTTTGTCTGTAGGTCACTGTTATTGTCTGTAAGTCACTGTTTTTCTCTAGGTCACTGTTATTGTCTGTAGGTCACTGTTTTTGTCTGTAGGTCACTGTTATTGTCTGTAAGTCACTGTTTTTCTCTAAGTCACTGTTATTGTCTGTAGGTCACTGTTTTTGTCTGTAGGTCACTGTTATTGTCTGTAAGTCACTGTTATAGATCACATTCTCTCTCTCTCACTGTACCAACACCCTTAGAACGACGCGGCCAAGAACCTGACACCACGCTCTAGGACTATGCTGGCCAGGTTCGGTCTCCACACGGTAATATCCCTGGAGGAGCGAGACTCCCTGGCCTGGGTGGGTACTCTCGGGGGGCCGACCTGGGGCGAGGCGAAGACCATGGGCATGCTAGAGGAGTTGCCCTGGGAGACCTTGTGGGCGTCAGGGGTCGTCCTCGACGTGATGGTGCCTCGGACAGTGGAGGGTGAGTGTTGGTGGTGAGGTGAAGTTGTATAGGGTAGAGAGAGTGAGAGAGAGTGAGAGAGTCAAGGGTGTCTAAGTGAGGAAAAAAAATCCACTCCAGAGATCAACAGGTTTTAGCCATAAGTCTTCCCCCAGCAGATAGTTCCTGCATGACAGAGGATGACCCGCGGGAGGCAGCTAGGGCGGCTTTCTGCAGGCTGTATGATGGCTACGGTGACCTGTGTTCCTGCCCTGATCCCGCCCCGCTGACCTACCACGCCCCGGAGGTAGGTCACTTAACATAAAACCCACGAAAAATAGATTTAGATTGATACTTCCCTTGTGGTCATAATAATCACGTTTTTTAGTAAATTTGTCGGATCAACTGGAAATTAGCCCTCCCCCCCTCCTCCAGCTCATTTCACCTGTAAATTAGGTTATGTTATGTAAGGTTAGGTTAGGTTAGCATTAGGGTGGTTAATCATATGGTAAAATTAGCTGGGGGCGAATCTTCAGGTGATTGGATTCTTCTTTAGTTTACCCTGATTTATATCAACATAGTATTAATGATCGTCAAAGTTAAGAACATTTACAGGAATTCATCTACTCATGAAAGCGTCATCCACAGCTGGAGGACAGCGCCATCCTGGACGTGCCTCTCTTGTTGTTGGCCGGTAACCGCCCCACTTACCTCTACAGGTAATAAAGGTCTTGTGTCTATATACCAAGTAAACAACATACGCTGCCTTAATGTTACTTTTATTCATTAGCTTCTCATGACAACCTGTTTTGTCATCATGCATGGCGAACGTTGGGGAACGGCGTTTCCTCACCTTTTTCCTCTCTGATAGATTAGCACTTTCGAACATTTTTTGTACAATGTATCAGTTCCGTTCTAATCTTCAATGCAAAGGTTGCTCCCCCCCCCCTCCCAATCCCCTTCCTATCACCAGTAAGGCGTCGTCAACCTATGGGCAAGAGACAAACAGGCTTACAACTGCCAACTAGATACCGTAGTGGTCAATTTATAGTAGAAGACATGATTAAATTTTTCTTCTGATACGTTCAGACAAATGTAAGACGAATTTCATCTATGAGACGTTTGGTGCATTTTACCCATAACTGAGATATCGGCCCCAGAACTTTTGTTCAATTGCTAACATACACACCAGGTCCTTTTCGCATTCGGTCTCTGTTAACGCTGTTTCTTCCCACTTTATATTATGACGTCTTTCGACGAATAATAAACTGTCATCGTTAATAATTACAGGTACTTCTCTTGGCCAATCATAAACTGGTGACGTTATCATGAATGGTGTTACAGGAGCCTGCTGACGTTGTTGAGGCAGCCTGGAGGGTCGCTGGAGAGGATCTTGGTGCTGGTGGATGGCTACCACCCGGAGGTGACAAGCCTGCTAGACTTACTGCAGGTGAGAGTGCGAGTTGCAAGTCAAATGGACCCCTGTATTAGTAGATCCTAATTAGGGCTAGTTACGATTAGGAATGAGGTCCAATCCTAATGGTTAGATTAGACTTGGTAGAAGTTTATTAGGATTATGTCCAATTAGGGGAAGGCCCTATTAGATTTAGGGCCCATTTGACCAGTCACTATGAGAAAAATAAAAAGAGAAATGGATAAATGCATAGAAATGGTGACTCCCTCAAGACCCTGCCCCTCACCACCCAGGTCTCCCGCAGGTGCAGTACCAGGAGCGATCATCCGTGGGTGTGACTATTGGAGCCAAGATCTCCGACCAGTACCGTCACGGCCTCACCCTCATATTCAATCGCTTTCCCAATGCTTCCAAGGCCATACTTCTGGAGGAGGACCTGCTCGCCTCCCCAGACTTCTTTAGGTAAGTCGTCGAGAAGTTCCGAATTATGATGGGTGTTGATAGTATGTGAACACCGGTTACTATTGCTCCCAGGACAGCTTTTACTACCACTACTGAACTGCAATTTGTTACTACTTCTGATGTTATTACAACTACTACTTGCCTCTTCCCCAGCTATTTCAACCAGACGGGGTGGCTGCTGGAGGCTGACCCATCCTTGGGTTGTGTGAGTGGGTGGAATGACCTGGGCAGCCTACATGTGGCCCGTGACCCTCGCCTGCTGCGTCGTGTGGAGGTGTTCACTGGTCTAGGCTGGATGGTCAGTGCTGCCACCGCCTCCCAACTCTTGCACATGTGGCCATCCCATGACAAGGTGACTCATGCAAGGGTTCTCTCTCTTTTATTTAGTCTAATTAGAGATTAAATCCTTCAGGACTTAGATACAGATTGTATCAGAGTGTAGTTAATTGCTGTTGCTCTTGAACAAAACTATATCACCAATGTAACACCACTATAATTGTATCAACACTGTATATGTTTCACCACTGTTTCCAGGACCACGATTGGGACATATGGATGCGGTTGCCTGGGGTGCTGGGAGGGAGGGAGTGCGTGGTTCCTGACGTGAGCCGCACCTTCCACATTGGAATCATGGGGTCACACGCCTCCATTCTCCTCCATGCTGCCTTTTTCGCCGCCAAGCCCGTGCCTGTCTCCACCCACGTGCACCTCCTCCACGTTGACAGGTGAGGTGTGTGTGTGAGAGAGAGAGAGAGAGAGAGAGAGAGAGAGAGAGAGAGACTATGAGTGTGTGTGTGTGTGTATTAATAATGTACTCGTGTGTATGTATGTGTATTTGTTAAATGTATACACATAAATATTCTGTACGATGTTATAAAGTATACAACTTTACATACTGTAGATAACTATCAAGGATTTTGTTAAGTGGGATTCTGTCCAGTGAGATTTTGGTACAATGGAATCTTATGTTCCTCCAGGATAACGAGGATGGAGTACGAGGAGGACTTGTACAGGGTGCTAGAGGAGGACCCCCTCATTCTCAAGTCACAGCTGCACCCCTGCCATCCTCAGTATCTCCCACGTAACCTTACCGTCAGTAGCTCACACCTCTGTGACCCATTGTTACTGCTACTAGTGATGTAATAATAATAATACTAATATAATAATAATACAAAATTAATATCTATTATTAGTATTACTATTATTGTCATTATTGTTATTATTATTAATCTACTGTAATTCTAATATGAAAGGATGCAGAGTCTAAAAAATAAAGCTGTGAATGGGTACTTGAATTTAGTTGGGGAAGCAAAGGCAGTTAAGTACAATATCCTATTATTCAGTGTGCTATATCCGCACTGCCCCTAGAGGGACACCAGACCAATGAGACCTATATTAATTCATAATTGCGTGTAATAATTGCCAGTAAATAACAAAGAAAGAACGTTTTGCTGATTAAAACTTAACTGGAGGCAAAATATGTTGTAGAGTAGTAATTATGAATAGTGTACAAAAGAGTAGTTTCCCCACAGGAGCGTCCGGTAATGGTGTTCATAGAGATGAGCTCCCAAGATGACTACTATGCCTGGCAGTTCTTCGCCAGGGTGAGTAAATATACACTCTTGTTTGTGGGTGAATCATTTGTTGTTGTTGATGAGTTCCTAGTTCATGGGTCAGCCGCTAATATATGGTTAGTGCTGTGCCTAAGACCTAGCCTCTCTCTTTAGTGACTTAAATATCCCCAAGTGACCTTTGATCGTGGAGATGAAGAACTTAGTGCTATTGGAACACTTATAGGTTCAATCTTGTTGCAGTAAGACTTTTGTAGCATATGAATTTGACTTTGGTTCTGTTGGGATAAATTACCTCAAACCAACTTGAATTTTCCTACCAAGTATTAAACCTCAGACCCCAGTTGGTTCTTGCTAGCGGCTGCGAAACTACCACAACACCTCTCTTCCTTTCCATGTGATCATTGACCTCTTCTCTACAGTGCCTAGGGATGTGGGACCTGGACACTCGGAGTCACCACCGAGGGCTCTTTCGGTTCTTCTTCTACGAGACGGAGGTGTTTGTGGTAGGTTACCCCTTCAGCGACTACAGGTGAGTGATTTCACCCCCTCCCTCCCCCTCCACACCTTACCCCTTAACACTGTAAAATCTTCGCCTGTGTGAGCCTACTGTGCGCTGAATGGTCTTTGCTCACCAGGATGTCAGCTAGGTTTCACCCCATTACTTGTTAAGATAAATTTGAGTTACACTATATTAAATGAGCTGTTTTGGTAATGTTGTCATGTTGACTTTGAATATAGGCTAGCTTGTTTTTTCTCATCATTTTAAAAGTACTTGGAAAATGTACGTTTGATAAATGTTCAGAATGTGTGTGAATGTGTGTGTATGTGTGTTGACTTGACGTTCCCCTCTGCAGTTACCTGAAGCCTCCCTGGGCGAGTCTGTTGGCCGTGAACACCAGCAAAGATCTGGATGCCCTCAATCTGATAAACTTTACAAATCGCGTCCGCTTCAGGAGGCCGGAGCTGGAGCGCCTTGTACCCTACCACGACATTCCTGTACCTCACTTTTAAAACCCAATATTACATTTACCTTAAGGACATGTTTTAACCACTCATCGGGTGTTACTGACGATATTTAGGTGGGTATTTATAAACACTACTTCCAAACACGCTGATTTAGTAAACCTTACCCTAAACAAAGAGTTGAGAGTCCTAAGCCTAACTGAAAATGTAAAATTCATTTTTTTCTTTTATACGGAGATTAGCCCACCCGGGCACAGGTTACTGACCCACATCGCGGCCTGGGGGGCGAAAATGTAATAATAATAATAATAATAATAACAATAATAATAATAATAATAATATTATTATTATTAATAATAACAATAATAATAATAATAATAATAATAATAATAATTCATAGTAAATAAAATTTATAATACAAAATACTAAATTGAAAATAAAATAATAAAGATAATTATAATAACAACACTGAAAAAAATAATAAAGAACCATAAATAAATACAAAATTAAAAAAAAAGATCAAAAGTGAGAAATAATATATGTATGTTGTGTAGTCAATAGTATAGAAACAATTGAGACTGCAAGTGTGTAAATGAGGCAGCAAGTCAGATGAGCAACCTGGGACTTGGTCACAATTTTCTCGATGCCTCTGGCAGCAGGGTCTGGTCTGCCATTAGACGATACATTGTCTTCCCAGGCGGTAGTACCTCCCTGTTCGGTAGCTAACTACTACCTGTTATACGTAGCTAAAACACAACAAACAATGCCCAATTTAAGCATTAAAATTAGATTCTTAAGTAGATACGTTCATTTAGTACCAGTAAGGAGACAAAATTTCCAGTAGATTTGTTTGCACGGGTATATTATATTTACGAATCATTCACACACACACGGGCTCCAGTAAATAAGTATTGTGCCAAGTTTGAACCAATAAATCGTTTAATAAGTATCTTATTTCCAAAATTGTTCTTATTTTTTTCTTCATATTCTGTTGTGTATGTTATTTTTTTAAATCACGGAAAATTGGAAAAATAATCACAAATTCGCCATAAAAATTCGAAAAGTTCCTCCAGTCTTGGTAGGTCCCCTTAAGATTTCAGGAAAAATCTTAGTTGACTTCACACATTAACATTTCAATTAGACTTCATAATTATATTTGTTTTAATTTTAATATATTCTTATTGTAGAACTGTAAAACAAAATAAAGTAGAGATAGATAAATTGATATATTTGTTGGACCAAGCGGTTGTACACCATTTCCTCACTAACCTCCAATATGATCATTATTCGACATCAAACATCTAAATATTAGTTAAAAAGGAATACCACAGAAATTTTTATCACAAACTACTGATATGGAGAAAAGAATATTTAATAATTAAACAAAATAAAATGTTTCCCGTGATAAGTAGTTTAATTTACTGCTTTTTTTCCTGTCCCACGGAAGGTTAAAACTTAGAAGGAGGCAACCAATTGTAGTGAACGGTGATCCCGAGTGACGGTACTGTAAACAAACGGAATAACAGAGCGCTGAGTTGCAACACTGTTTCTTCAAGGTGACGGTCGCCAAACGCAGGACAATAGTAAGTGGTGCAGTTATTATATATGTGTACAGTATTGGGTGGCAAGCGAGCGGACCCTGGATTCGATCCCCGGGCAAGTTTCTTGACGCCATTTGCCTCTTATTCAACGTAATCGGGAACCTGGATATTAATCGATTTGCGGATCGTGTTTCGGGGTAATGGTTAGCCAGCGCAGTTGACGAGTTGTCTGTTTTTATCGGACTATTACTTGACACTGGGTCATGTAACTTGTTAATTAGGGTGTGGTTGTGTTGGCAACAGCTTCTGTGCCTTAAATTCACGCCGAGGTGGTTCTAGGGCCGGCCATCCTCGTGACACTAGGCACAACCATTATTATTATTATATTCAAGCAGTAAATATCATGGTGAAGGTGGGTAAATTTGCCTTTCCAGCGCAAATTTATATTTTCGAGTATTTTAACTGAGCAAAATTGATTTAGAAAGGAAAAATGATGTAGAGAAGCTATATTTGGTTTGGGAATTTTGAGTGAAAGGGCCTTAGAGGGCCAAAGAAATTTGTACATCTACTTTCTTGATCTTGAAAAAGCTGTTAATAAGATAAGTCACATTAACTTATAGATAATTTGGACAAAATAGGCATTAATGAAGGATAGATTAGAATTTTAATGAATTTTTACTGTCAACAAGGGGGCTGCAGTATTAGTAAATAATGAACTTACAGTTAGACAGGGAGTAAGACGAGGCTGTTCTATCTCCAACATTGTACAGTACAGTATAATGTATATTCAGAATTCTTAATGGAAGTTATAATTGATAATGGAGCACTAAAAGTTAATAGTAAAGTAATATAAAATAAATCATATGCAGATGATACTTCATTTATCACAGATAATGATGAGACGTTACAAAAACTCGTTAACAGGTTGGTGGGAAAAGGTGAAAAATATGGGTTTAAGAGTTGGTGCTGTAAAGGCTAAAGTAATGGCTGTTTCCAAATTGGGAATAAATCATAGAATGAAAATTATGGTAGGTAACAACGAACTTAAACAAATGGAAAATTTTGTGTATTTGGGAATTAGCATTAGCTGTTATGGTATATGTATGGAAGAAATCACAACAAAAATAGGGCAAGCAAAAACACCATTTAATAATCTTCATGACATTGAAAAGAGACCACTAACTTAAATTTGAGAAAAAGGCTGCTGACGGGCTTTATATTTTAAGGACTTTTTCATGGTATTCCTCCCACTGTAACTTATTCTTAGCATTCTCCTATAACGCCACAGTTCAAAGATCCACTATATATTAGTTATCCTTAAATATAGTTTTCTGTGAAATGTTGACAATGTGAGAATGGGAAGCTGCATTTACCCGAATACTTTGTATATTTCTTATCGCAGTGTATACAAGAGGAATTTTTTTATGGTGTATGAGGGAGTTGGTGGCTTTATTTACAGATATTTGACTGTTTTTTCTCAGTAGAACTCGGCCATATTTACCAAGTGCTGAGAATATTAGTTGTCTTATTCCGGTACGTTTACAAATTAAAAATACACGTAAAACGCATTTATAAATATATCCTCGAGAACGTTCTCAATAATTATGTATAATTGGTGCGGAAATATCAGTCAAATAATAACGAAATTACCAAAAATTTGTGTTTGTACGAACGTGTAGTTATTGGAGTAGGATGAACGTACACAGGCCCAGGAGTGGGATGAACGTACACAGGCCCAGGAGTGGGATGAACGGAAATTGTCGGGACATCCACTAGATGTCTCTTGCATGCTGGAAAAATCGATGAAGGCTTTCGCGCGGAATTTGATTTTGAGGAACACTTCCCTGACTTTGACGAGTAAAAATTCTTCAATTTTTCTATTAGAGTTGCTATAAGATTCGAGCTACAGAGATTTTCTTGCAAGTCTATGTATTATTTAAGTATGAGCTGTATTGAGGGGGTTATTAGTGTATATTGTAAATTTATACAAGTAACACCAATTAATCAATCTGCTAATACAAAGTAAAAAGAATAATACATCAGTTTTAACTTCTCGTATGACGCTCATTACTCACCATACATAAACGATTTAATTATACTGATGTTATTCTTATACAAAAGTTAACTGTATGTATAGATTCAAGTCAAGTATTAGGGCACAAAAACCACAAGAATATCAACAGTAAGGTTATGTAAACCTAATTCACTAAATGTTAGAGGGACGGGAAAATGAAGTGTCAAAATTCTGTTATCACTATGCCAATTAGACTAAGAGGAGCTAGGACCAGTCTTAGATGTGCTTACGATAAATATTCATCGTAATGGATGATATAAGAGTTACCCAACTGGTTGACTCTAAAAAAAAAGCATCCAAATATGGCATTTAAATTACAGACTCGACGTTAACTAGATACGTCCGATAGCCAGGACAGAATTAATATAATATTAGATAGATTCCTTATGTATATTTTATCGCCTGACTGATACTTATTTAACGTGTGTATTTAAGATTGCGTTAAAGTGTGATTTTAATGTTACCTTGGAGTTTCAGCTCACATCAGTGAGATACAGAAGCTAAAACAACTAGCTGTGCATACTTTGTGGGAAACAGTATGAGACCATGGACGATAAATTTTGGTATATGGGGGCTGTCACTAGTCACAAGTAAAATTTCAGAGCATATCGACCCCCACATGCACAGACAGTTGTTTTAGCTACTGTACATTCTTCCATCTTCAGTTACGAGCAATATTCATCGTACGAACTTCAGAGAATCTGTTCGCTGGAACGGATTCATTTCGCTAATTGAGCGGGGGAAAGTTTGTTTGGAATAGGATAGCGTATTAATTTTTAGTCTGTTGCTACAGACCCGCGTCCGGCTCTCAATAAATTTTGTTCGAGTGACGGACACATCATAGTACTGGATATATAACACTTAGACAAGGAACACGAACCAACTACTCTAACCTAACCATCCTAACCTACCCAACCTAACCATCCTCACCCAACCCAACCCACTCAAGCCACCCAACCTTACCATCCTCACCTAACCCACTCAACCTAACCATCCTCACCCAACCCACCCAACCTAACCCACTCAAGCCACCCAACCTTACCATCCTCACCTAACCCACTCAACCTAACCATCCTCACCTTACCATCCTCACCTAACCTAACCATCCTCACTTAACCCACCCGACCTAACCATCCTCACTTAACCCACCCGACCTAACCATCCTCACTTAACCCACCCAACCTAACCATCCTTACTTAACCCACCCAACCCACCCAATCCAGCCTAACTAACCCTAACCCAACCCAACTAACCCTAACCCAACCCACCCCACCCTAACCAACTTACCCTAAACTTAACCTAACCTAACTTAAATATGTACCACAAATTAACTGGGATAGGGATAAAAAAAAATGTGTCTCCTCAACACCTCCAGATTAGTATTTACATGTTTCAAGTTTACGAGGCAGTGATTTGTGGGCTAACACACACACACACACACACACACACACACACACACACACACACACACACTAATATCTTACCTTCCTTGTGTCTGTCCAGGCGTCTCTGTCTCCGGGCATGTGGAT